TGTAGACGGAAGTCGTGGAGGTGGTGTAGCGCGTTGTTGTTTTGTTGCGGGTTCCGCAACGATGTCGTCCGTCGCGTTCGTCTGTTGTCCGAAATCCTGCGTGGACCTTCTTTTCTCTGACGGTTGTAGTTGCGTGTCCAACAGTGTTGCGAGCGACGGGTTGTAGGTGTTCCGTCGTGGTGCCCATAGTGTGCCGGAAACTTTGTTCAACAGTGCAAGGTCGTACTTGAAGTCCGGTTGTAGTCTCCGTACTGTTCGTACCTTTTGTACGCCTGATTCCGTTGCGACGTAGTTTTCTCCGGTTTCGGAAACTTTCCGAGCCAGATGCATGTCTGCATCCGTAGGTCTGCTTTTGGAAGTTTCTTGTGTTGTGGTGGAAGGTAAAGTAGTGTTTTGCGAAATTCGCAGATTGCTCGCTCGTAGTTTCTTCCCCAGCGGCGTTCGAAGCTTGTGAGGCCGTCGAAGTGAATGACGTAGCAATATACAGTCCATGCTGCATGCCGTACTATCCAAGGTAGTGGACAGTGCTTTGTGGACATTGTAGTGCTGTAGTTACTTTCGACTTGCCCTTTGACAACGCGCGCGTATCTGTCCAAGGAGTGTTTGATGTAGTCGTTCAACGCTTCCTTGACGGTTGCTGCTGTAGGAGGGCGCATGTCTAACAGTCATTGAGCCGACTTTTGCTGCTGTAGTTTTAGAAGCGCGTTGAGTGTGTCTTCGTTGTCGCTTTGTAGTATGCCTTGTGTTCTTCCGCACTCCAAGATGAATGCTTGTAGGTTGTTGACCATGTAGTCCATCATTGGTGGTTTGTCCGGGACCAATACCGCCATACACAGTTGTGTAGTAACATCAACTGCCGTTAAGACTGGTATGGTCTTCGGATCTTGTTGTGATTTGATGTAGGCAAAATCCACTTGGATGATGGGTTGTCGTGATTGTTGTTTCTTGTAGTTGTCCTGGCGTCCTTTGCCTTGAACGCAAATTGGACACCAATTTCTGTATGGTAGGTGTGTCAAGTTGTGTTCTGCTATTTGTTGTGGAGTGGGCTGCTGAGGTTGTCGTAGTCCTATTGCTCTGTGTGCTTCATGATGCTCGTGTTGTTGTTCCTCATCGTGGTTCTCCTGGATGTACTCGTAGTCTTTCTTCACGGTGAACCTTGTTGTTCCTTTCCATTGAAATGGTAGTGCTGCGTTGCCCATGACTGTCCAGTCATCTTTGCGTTGTCAAACTTCTCCAAAGTTGTTGTGAGTGATTGTAGTTCTGTGAGGCTCAAGTGTGCTGATTGGTGGATGTCCTGGTCCATCTGTTGGAGTGAAGAGAGTTGTTCTAAGTGTTGTGTGGTGTCTTATCCAGTGTTCACCTAGTAGTCTTGGTTGTCCTCCTGTGCTGTGAGTGGTCTGTGGATTGTCTCCTCTGGTTGTGTGGTGTCAAGATTTGTAGAAGGTGCTGCTTTAGGTCTCCATATCTTTTGTGGTGCTCGTAGTTGGATCTTTGACCTGGTTGGTGGTGTGTCCATTAGCCGTTGTGGCTGTGAGCTCTGCCTTGTTGGTGTGGTCTTTGATGTTGCTCTGCGTGTAGGTATTATCTTTCTTCTGAATCTGGTTTCTCCAGTCCAGTTGTCACCTTCTAGTCTTCGTTGCAGTTCTTGCTTGGAAAGTTGTGTTGGGTTCTCTTGTAGTTGTTCTTGCTCTTGCCCTTGTCTGTTGATGATGGTTAGTCGCCAATCATCTAGTTCTCCTTCTGGTATTGGGCAACCGCTGTTGTGTGGTGTGAACAATGCTTTGCGTGGTCGTTTGATGGCGTAGTCACCATCAAGTTTCCAGTAGTCAGTGTTTCCACCAAGGATCTATCGCAGTCCTTGGTCTGTGTGGGTGAGTGGTGCAATTTGTTCTTGTTGTTGTGTTGCTTTCTCTGTAGGTTGAATCACAGCAATGGATTTTCCATTGTCTGTGGTCGTTGGGTGCATGTCGAATCCTGTAGGGATGTCGATCTTCTCTGCTCGTAGGTAGAAAAGTCCTGAGTGTCTTATGAGGTGTGCTTGTTGTTGTCCATGTGTGATGGCGCAGTGTCGTGGATTGAAGTCAAGTCCATATCCTCTATCAAGTAGTCTTGATGCACTGAGGATTGGATACTTCACATCACAAACGTAGTAGGGCATCATGATCCTGAAGTTGTCCTGCTTGTAGGGAACGTACTTGATGCCGTAGACAGGAATCTTCTTGTTGGTAACCGTGTAGAGTTGTGGAACTGATTCTCCACAAGGTCGTAGCGGTAGATCTGGTGCGTAGTCCTTTGGGCAAACATGTGTAGATGCTCCTGAGTCGATTGGCAGGTGGTGGTATGACTTGAAGTTGAGTACATGATGTAGTGTGTGATAGTGTCCTCAATCTTCTTGTTCCTTTGCTGTTGTGTTGCTGCTGCTATGTCAAAGTGTAGCTGGGTGGTGTCTTCTTGCAGGAATTGTTGAAAGCTCTTGCTGTGGTCGCTCCATGATGTTGTGTGTGTGTTGTTTTCTTGCCAAGTAGTGATTTGGATTTGCGCTTGTGTAGTCGTGACTTTGCTTGTCTGATGTGTCCAATGGTGAGGTGTGACTCGTTGATGCCTCCAATGTAGTTTGCTGTGTCCTCATAGCTGTTGTCATTCCAATCCCAGCTGTTGTCATAGTCGTAGTCGTTCCAGTTCTATGTTGTTTACCTCGTGTTGTCCTTCTTCTCCTTCGTAGTACCAGTCCCAGGTGTCGTTCACATTCTGAGGTTTGCCATGATCTGCTTGTTCTTGTTCTAGTGGATGTAGCTCTTCTCTTTCTCCTATGTGCCATACTGGCACTCTGCAGTCTTGTGCCCAGTGGCCAGGCTTGCCACATCGATGGCATGTTGTGTAGTTGTTGTTTCCTTTTCCTTTTGATTTGCTGTAGTTTCCTTGGCCTTTGTAGCCTTTGCTTGATCCATATCCTTTGGATCCTGAGTAGTCTTTTCCTTTGCTCTTGTTGTATCCTCCTTTGTTATAGTTTCCTTTGTTGCCTTTGTCGAATCCTTTGTAGTGTCCTTTACTCCTGTACTTGCCTTTGCTTTTGCTTCCTTTGTAGTTGCCTTTGCCTTTTCCTTTGCCTTTGTAGTTTCTTCCTTTCCTCCATATGTTGTCAACATGCATTGGTGCAGCTCCTCCATTGTAGTTTGTTCCTACTGCTGAAGTCGATCTCGAGAAGGCTGAAATCGTCTTGTAGTAGTCCAGGATGACTGCTCTGATCTTGGTGTAGTTCGTGATCTGTCCAGCTCGCAGTTGGAGATGTTGCGTCAGTGCTCCTTTGGTTTTGTTGAGTAGTATTGCTATTTTGATTCCATCTGGTAGCGCTGTGCCGCTGTCTTTCTCGTAGCGGTTGATGTCGTATTCCCATTGTAGGAATTGTTCTTCAAACTGCGCTTCGTTGAATGTAGGTTCCAGTAGTTTGGTAAGGTAGCCAACGCTTCTTGTTCCTACTGGTAGGCTGAACCTGTTGTGTAGGAGTCGCATTTTGCCTTACTACTGACTGTAGCTGCTGCTCCCTGACAGATGTTGATGAGGATGTAGCTTAGATCTCTGGAGACGTCTACTGCTTTGCTTGCTTGTGTAGGGTCGAGTATGTGTGTTCTGATGTCTGTGTCCTCAATCTGCCGTGTAGCCACTTGTGCTAGCTGTAGCACCAGGTAGACGTCTCGGTCTATGAGGCCGAGGTATGCTTGTAGTTTGAACAGCCATTCTTCATACTGAGAGTAGTGAAGGCTGGTGGCAGTTTGTATCTATGTAGTCTCTGAACGTCGTTGTCTTGTTCTGTTCCTGCTCCCGTAGTCGTGGCTCCTACTGTGTCTGCTGTTGGCCCGTTCTCTGCTCCTGTAGTTTGTTGTGCTGAGGCTGATGCTGCTTCTCCTGACATGTCGTTGTAGTTTGGCATATGACTGCTGTTTCTGTGGTTGTAGTACTTACTGCTTACTGGAGCTCCCCTATGTTTAGGATCTCAGCTCCGCTACCACGTTAAAATTGGTTGCTACTTTTACTTACAAGTGCAAGCGCTGTAGCGTTCAAACAAACAGTCAACCAATGTAGTCTGCAGCTGCCAACCTTTTGACCCATGCGATGTAATGAGCTCAAGGCCTGCATGCAGTAGTGAACATACATGCAACACAAATGCAGGAAGTGAAGCATGTAGTTTGACGAGAGAGAGAGAGAGAGAGAGAGAGAGAGAGAGAGAGAGAGAGAGAGAGAGAGAGCGAGCGAGCGAGCGAGCGAGCGAGCGACGGGGGAGCAGCCCTTGTGGCCCTTGCGAAAGCTGGGATGAACACATCTCTGATGGTCTCCACCCCGTGGGAACCAGCAAAACCAGCAGCTGAGCCCCCGCAGAAGCGTGCAAAGCAGGCAATCTGGCCAAAAACTGCTGCGCGCTGCATACACCCGGCTACTCCGGTATAAACCGGCACCCACGGCTGCGCGCAGCTAGCATCACCACGTTCACATAGTAACCAAGCCAACTTGCGGCAGCAAGAAGTTGATCACGATAGACCATCGTCCTGCCGTCCTCCTGCGAGGGCACTGGCCGAATTCGCAGCAGCCTTGGGGCGCACCACGCATGCACGACGAAAGCTCCAAACTCCGTGGGGGAGGGGAGGGGAGGGGAGGAGGGAGAGAGCGAGAGAGAGGAAAGAGAGAAGAAAAGAGAAGGAATCAGAAAGGGAGAGAAGTAGAGAGATAGAGAGACCCACGAGCATAAGCCCGGACAGTTCCTTGTTGAGATGCGCAGGGCGTAGAAAAGGCGTAAGCTGGATTCCACTGATTTGTGTGCACCTTGATCCATTCATGTGGCCATGGGTCAAAATCCCGTACCCCCAGTGAACATCCCAATCTTCACTAAAACAGGTTCTAAAATGGGTAGTGCACCTACAAATGGTACCATTGGCTTTGACAACCACAGCCATGCATTGGAAACGTCAAAGGGGCGTTCGGGCAGTCAGTTGCTCGCCCTGCGCCAGGTCTCCCAGGAGATCCGCGAGCGGCGCGCGGAAAAGCTGCAAGCCGTCATAGAGGCCGCCGCCTCCTCGAAGCAGGACAGGGGAACTGGGGGGAGAACGGGGAGATGCTGGTGCATGTGTTGACAGTTCATGGTTTGATTTGGGGTGGTAAATGTGGGAAGGTTGGGTGGCATGTGTTGGGCTTGAGTTTCAGCAGCAGTCCCGGAAGGTTCCGTCAGGGCTATTCAGTATTATGGCTCTTACCATCTCTGTCTCAGATGGCAAGACCAATTGCAAAGGCTCCCCCACTGACAAACCAGACACTGAGGCCCGCCACGGTCACCGACCGCTCCAGATGTGTTCGGTTCCAGGATTCCCAGAGAAGGAATTAGGATCGCCTTGCTGAACCCCAGACCAATTTTTGTCCCCGATTTAACTTTGCTGGCCGCACCGGACCCTGAGAATCCCGGCGGTGGTTCTCGAAAGCCCCGCCCGCACCTTGTCAGATCCTGCTTTCATCAGCAGAAACACGTCCGGTCTCACAAGTGTTTCTCTTGGCGAAATTCAAAGCAGAGCTTGCAACAGACTCTTTGTCAAGGACGATGGGGATGCAGAGAGGAAGCGCGAGGAACAAAGGCATGCTGAACGGCTTCGCATTGTTGCTGAGCACGAGGCACGCGCGCTCAAACAAATCCTTGCTGTTGTTCATTTGATGCTTTGCACTTGCCACTTGCCAAATATTGCAATATAATTTGGAAAGCCAGAGGGCCTTGCCGCTGCATTGGCCAGAGCCCTTCCAATTCGACTGGCACCTTGTTTGGCGTTCCTGCTTCGACTTAGCCTCATGGCAGCATTGAAGCTGCTGCTCCTGAGCGTCCTGGGGGCGGCTGCCAGAACAGAGGACGAAATCTACCGATGGCTGTTCTCCAGCCACGGCCTGAACTTGGACAGCGCAGACGCAGCACGGGAGGCACCGATCTTGACGCAGTGTGCGGTGGACGTCGATTACCTGACCAAGCTGAAGGCCGTTCTGTACAGCACCTCGAGTTTGGATTATGACTGGAGTACGGTCCAGCACATCCTGATCCCCTTGGCAAAGCAGCACGTCGACCATAAGCAGCTGAATTTTCTCTTCCAGAAACTCTACAGCCACAAAGGTGTTGACCTCATCAGAACGGACGCTCAATCCCGCAGCCTGGAGTTGGCAAAGGCTTACGCGGAGGCTGGCCAGGTGCTGGAGCTGTGGAAGGTGCTTTACAGCACCAACGGCGTGGATCTCCCCAAGCGCGACGCACAAGCCAAGACCCTGGAGCTGGCCAAAGCGGGCTGCGACCCGCTGGCACTGGAAAACTCTTTCCGCGCCGCCAGCGGCTCCAAGGATGACCGCTTGAATCAAGCGGTCAGCTCCGCCTTGCGCGCCAACCTCAATGGCGAGGCACGGCGATACGCCAAGGACGGCGTGGCCTACGATGTGAAAGGCTTCCAGGACCACTATGGCGCCAAGGCTTTGATGGAATGGGCTGACGCCCCGCCTGAGATGAGGATGGCCCCGGACCACAAGGCCTACACGGCCAGCCAGTTCCGCTTGCACTTCAAAAGCGATTGGGAGCGCTACTGGCATGCAGCCCCAGTGGCCACCCAGCGGCGTTTGGCGGAAGACGGCAAGGCCTATGACTTGCCAGACTTCTTCAGCTGGTACAACAGCCGACATGAGGACTGGCAGCAAAAGTGGGAGGAGGCACCTGAGTTGCCGTGCAAAGAATGCAGCGCTGCCTTGATGGTGGTGTGAGCCTGCAGGCGCTTCACACCAGTCTTGGGTTACTCGATTTACATGTTTGTGCTGTGCACTTGGCAAAGCTCAAACAGCGTGTGCTCGCATGCACACTGGCCATTTGTTGCGGGAAGACCTTGAACCAGTGTGTACCAGTGTGATTCTGTTGGTGTGAAGCCAGTTGTGCATGTGATAGCTTGCAAAGGTTCACGGCGCCGCTCGTGATTTGAACCGGCGGCTGTGGCAAAGCGCGCTTCCATGACATTCATCTCGAACTTTGTTAGCTTGATCGATGCTGAACTGTTGTTATTTGTTTGCTTTCAACATAGCTCGGCATGTTGATTGGATTTGAGCTGAATTTTGGGCGTTGCAGCATTGCAATGCAGCAATGCAATGGTTTCGATCTTGATCCGCAGGCTGCACAGCAGAAGCTGTTTGACCTCCCTTTGCGGGAGTACCTTATGGAGTACCTTGGAACATACTGGACCCTGACGCATCCCAAAAACCCAACACAGGTGATCGCAGGTCTCCACATGAGTTGTGCCCAGAGTTTTGCCGAGACAGACCATTTCATTTCGGTCCGTTGTTTGTCAGTTGGTCCGAACTGGTTAAAAACGAGTCCACCCAAAGCAGCCAGCAGCCGAGTCCGTGTTAGGCCGCGGCAAATGCGGCAGCGAAACATGACCCAGGTACATGGTGCCGAGTCTCACCGAGGGCCTCATCGAGGTGTGCAAGGAGCGCTGACCAAAAAACGGCATGTAACACGCGCGGGATGCAGGGGCGTGTGGGTGTCCTTTTTGGTTGATTTGGTTGAAAAATAGAGGGCCCTGGCCATCTAATTCCCCAAAGAGGACACCTATGTGCACGGGTGTGTGTGTGTGTGTGCAGGTCCTGCCAGATGATCCTGTGGACTATCTTGCGAATTACCTTGAAGAGCACGCTGCACCAAAGCCGAAAATTAGAGGCGGAGGCATGAGCTGATAGATGCAGTTGCCAAGGCAGATCCCAATCCTGGGCACCATGAGTGAGGGGCAGGCGGACCTGGTGACCTAAACTTTGTTTCACTGTCTCACTGCCGGTGCCGGTGCCAACTGACCTGGTTCGGCAACAAAAATGGGCGGCAAAGGGAAAGCCATTTGCAAGGACCATAGCCAGTCTTTAGACTTCTGTCGCGTGTCCCACCCCTCCCCACCTGTTTCAGGCCCATGCCGTTGGGTGAGATCGACATTCGCAGGTTGGCATGCGCCTCAGGCGATGGCTCTGGCGCGTTTTGACGGAGCTTCCGGAGGCCACCCCAGCCGCTCTCAGACCTCCAAAGAAAATAAAAAGACATCCGTGGAGATAGGAATGACCCAGGCTTCCCTTCTGGACCACCGCCCTGACGTGACACAAGCGCTTCGGGCCGCATTTGCAGAAGTGCCGGCCTCACGACACTGAACTCCAGCCGAGACCTGATGGGTTGGGAGTCCTAAATCGTCGCTTGTGACTTTGGAATGGCAGACGTACCTTTGGAGCATCCAGCCGTTTCCACAAAGTGTTAAGGAGCCCAACAAACTCTGACGCATGCTGTTGCGATTCAGATGCAGCCCCCGACACTACCGACTGTCAATTCAACTTCGATGCAGGTGCACCCGGGAGCTGACACCAACCAGGCCAGGAAGTTGGTGTTGCTTGCATGATCTGAGCCTAGACAATGTTGTTTTGAACCCTGTGCAGATTGCAGTCGCAGATTGAGCTATCTTGTCACATGCAAGTTACAAGTGTGCGACCGCAGCCTTGCCATTGTGGTTTTGGCTGCTGCGATTCCGATTCGGTCAGATGAATGCTCTCAGCCTGGCGGAGGCGACCATGCAGGAGGGAACACGAGATTTGGCGTGGTTGACACGATGCGACTGACACAAGTGGAATTTAAAGGCGATAAGAGGCTATTACGCTCTAGGTTTGTTTTTTTCTTTCTGGCATTTTGGGGCTAGAAGGACAGCTTCTAGCTTTCACGTGTGTGGTGCACGCGACTAGAAGTGAATGGGAGGTCAGCACTGGGCGCAGGTGTCAGGTAGACTTGCATGATGGCAGAGTCTGTTACATGTTGTGCTCATCTAACTAAAGCTATTGTTTGGCAGAGTTAGTTTCGAAACCAGAGGAATCCTGATTGTAAAGTTCTGCTGTGGATGGACGAAATCCTGCACCACTTTACCACCGTGGGTATTTACAGGGTCAGAACTCCAAGCTTTCTTCGGTGAAGGACTTTGTTCAGTGTGTGCATGCCGCAGGAGCCCCATATGCTCCATGCCTTTGCCGGGTGGCCTATACCCATGCCTTGACACATGAGGTGTGCTTCCTTGCGATGGCTTGTGTGGAAAACTGCTGCCTCAGCCATTTCAACTTTATCCACCCTTTGCCGCCCGGTAGCTCCTTTATGAAGCTTTGCCTGGCAGTGGCACTTGCCACTGCAACAGCTCTTTGGGACAAACTGGAAACATGCTCTACTGAGAAGAGTGAAGCTGCGCATTTGCTGCAGCGCTTGTCGCGGCATGTACCGCGATCGGCGAGGCGTGGCCTAAAGTTTCGTGCCATGACTCCGCTGGTGTAACTCTTTGGAAGTTGCCCTTTTTCCAACAAGCATGTCCAAAGTGCAAGGCGGCTTCCCCAAAAAGAAGACGATCTTCCCAAACGTTCCAATAGGGGAGGGAGAGAAAGAGAGATAGAGAGAGAGAGAGAAAGAGAATGCCAACAAGGGTCCATTAGTTTCGTGTTGCAAGAGTCAAACTGCGGGCGATGTTTGCTTCTCTTCGCCGTGGTTTGCGCTTGACGCGGATATGTGCTTTCTAATGTTGGATGTGACGAGTGCAGACCTTTCTGAACCCTGGCAAAGCTGCCTGGGCAGTTTTCCGAGACCTTTCTGGCGAGTGGGGCCTGGGGTGGCCCAACCTCTTGGAACGCGAGTTGGCCATCCTATCCCTCTGGGTTTCGGTTGCCGCCGACTTTCGCCATCGGCCAGGCGGCACGGCGAAAACGCGCACCAGCGAGAGGAACTGCTGCAGGTAGGCCATAGCACCAGCTGCAGCCTGGTGAGGCAGGGCCACGCGGTTCACGGCCGATGGAAAGGCAGCCAGAAGGACCAAAGTGGCCCGTTGGACACTTTGCCCGAGGGTGAAACCAACCTAGAACCATCCCACATTTTACGAGCTGGAGAATGTGACACTAGGTCCACGTTGAGTATGTTAGGCCACTTGAAGAGAGGTTTGCTTGTTACGGCATACGTCATATGGGAGGCGCACAGGTGACTGCAATGGCATGTTCAGGTATGGATTGTGGTTTGGATTGTGGAGGTGTGCAGGTAAAAGTACCCACTGACTTACATAAGGAGCATATACTCGGCTACAATCTTATATTGGTGATAGAACGTGGCTGCAGGCATCCATAGCTGTCACTGCATTGCAGAAGGATCCCGAGATGCTTATGAATCGAACGGCATTGTTGTAGTTTGGCTTGGTATGTGCGTAGTTCTGGGTTGTGAGCTCATGTTCGAACATGTGCATGTGTGCGTATGGTGGACCTGTATTTCTCGACAATGTTGCATCTCGACCACGGGGTCAAAGACTCTTTGAGTAGCGTTGTGTTTGTTTGAGCTAGCGGATATATGTGCGTGTGTGCCGAGTGTGCAAGTGGGAGACAAAGAATTAGAGGGAGATGCCAGGATACCTGCCGTACCCGTGCTGGTGGCCATGCCGCTTCGCTCCTCATGCGAGCATTAGAAGTTTGCCCTTGCCAATTCACCCCTTGGCGCTCCACTTCGCTGGCAAAAGGCAGCATTGCCATAAACTGAGTCGCCTGAACATGGGGTGGTCCAAATCAGGACATGAGTTTGGGGGCCGGCCACCTTGCATCACCCCTTCCTGCGCCAAGGCAACATCCAATGGCTTCATTTCCCAAAAGCTGGCACGAGCTTCATGGCGACCATTTGGAACTATGCTTGCGCCAGGAGGAAAACTGGCTTTGCGCCAAATCTGGGACGGGGGGGATTTTCCAAGCTTTCCACTTGTGTGTGTCACGTGTTTTGTCCGGCGATACATTGTGAGTGCCAAGCGATATGCGCGAAGGACGCCTTTGGACCTTGGTGTGAGCCCCAGGGCCACGCCAGGCTGTGAGCAGTGCTACGACATGGCTCTCATGGACCGATACCCTGCAGACGAGTTCTGTGACGAAGCTTCGGCCGACTGGAGGGCGAGAGAGAGAAACAGAGAATCAATCCAAGGAGACCAAAGCACTGAAGAAATCTCATCACCCCTCAAACGTGTTTTGCTAGGGTATTAGCAGCGATGTTCCGGGATGTTTGGTTGCAGTGCGCGGCTGTTGGTGCTGCTGGTCTGAGGACGGCTACCTGAGTGAAGGCTTCCACACACAACACACTCCTGTATCACTGGATCTGAAACAGCAGAATGACTGGAACATCATTGGTATGTTTCGGCGGCCCAGCTACTCGGCTGAATAGCCAGGAGAGGCGTGCATACGCATGCCAGACGTGCGCGCTTACAGGCGAACCGTTTGGATGTATACGTGCTGTTTATGCTGGTTTTGCCTGTAACCTCTCACAGCGGCAAGCACGATAGGAAACAGCATGTTTTTGGTTTGTCGTATGTTTGTTGACCTTCCTTCAAATTGCTTGGTGTGGCCAGTGAAGGCTGCATGCATTTGTTTGACGGGGTCTCCGCATTTTTACTCGAGTTATAGGGGCAAAATGATGAACGAGCTGCTTTACACACGTTTGCCGCATGATAAGAACGCCCTTTCAACTGCACACGCTCAGCACTGCACACACTTGCGCACGCACTACTTTTTGAGAGAGTTCACTTGTATTTGCAGAGTTGTTTGCCTTTTTGAGAGCTTTGGGAAAGAAGCAAAACCAAAGGCAATTTGGAAGCTTCAGGCTCAAAGCCGAAAAGTCTGAGGGAAAAGTAGTTGGCCAACATTCTTCTTAAAGGAGCTGCTTTTTCGTTTTGGTGCCCGGTTTGTTTCAGTGTGTCTTTTGTTCTTTGCTTTTTTATTTGACTGACTCTTTTGGAGAATGGTGGCTTATCTAGGCTCTTCCCCGCTCAAGGGCTAAGACGAATCCTTGCCAATACTGGATGTAAGACAACTGAGAATCTAAGGTTACATCTTGGCCATACTATATTTAGATTGGTCAATTTGGTCAATTGTTTGGGAAGACTAAACTGAGAGAAGTGGTAGCCCACAATAGCCCCTGATCCTCGTTAATCTGACTGTTTTGGGGGACTCTTTAACAAGCCCTTCCCAGCTCAAAGAATTCAAGGCTCAGACTAAGTCTTAGCAATTCTCGATGTAGCTCGAAACGTTGGACACTCTCATTTGCTGGGTGTTTTTTTTTTGGGTGGGGGGTGGGGGGGGGGGTAGGATTTGTGTGCACGTTTTAAAAAAATAACTGATGTTAGCGTTTGTACGATTGCCCTCTCCAAGTGCCAGCGTTTATCTACATTTAGCTATAGACGTTCTTTCTTCTGGGCCACGAGTGCTGCAGGTGCTGGTCAGGGTGCTGGTCTGTAAGGGTGCTTTGCGCCCTGGTCAAGGTGCTACTTGGTTTGCTCAAGGCGTAGTGGCAGTTGTCGGCGGTGCTTGGGCGCTGTTGCTGGTCAAGGTGTTTGGTGTGCTCAAGGCGCTGTGCTAGTTTGTCTTGGTCATGGTGCTGGTGGGGGTGCTTGTCGCTGTTGCGGGTGCTGGTACGGCAGCTCAAAGTGCGGTGGCGCTTGCCGACGGGTGCTTGTTGCTGGTCAAGGTGCTTTTTGGTGCCCAGGGTTGCTGCTGGCGGCGCTTGTTTGGCGATCCTAAGAGTGCCACGCTGGGTGCTGGTCAAGAAGCTGTTCGGTGTGCTCAAGGCACCGCGATCAAGATGCTGGCGGGGGCGCTGCGCCGCATGCCTTGTTCCGCAACCATCGAATTCTCCACAGCACGTTGCGAAGCAGGAAGGGCTGGGCCAACCGTTTCGACACCAGCAGCCTTTGCGTGCTTGGCC